TACAGTAGTAGTACAGTAGTACTGTAGTAGTACAGTAGTAGTACAGCAGTAGTACAGTAGTAGTACAGTAGTAGTACAGAAGTAGTACAATAGTAGTACAGCAGTAGTACATCAGTAGTACAGTAGTACAGTAGTCGTGTAGTAGTACAATAGCAGTGCCGTAGTGGAACAGTAGTAGTAATAGTACAGTATGGTTTGGGTTTGAGGGTTTGAGGGTTTAGGGTTTAGGCAGTTTAGGCTTAAGTGGGGTTTCGGGTTTAGGGAGAGTTTCGGGCTTCAGGTCCGGGGTTTTAGGGTTGCGAGGGGGGCTTTAGGTCGTGGCTGCTTTAAGATTGACCGATTGACCATGACTAGAAGGGAAAAAACACAACCAAACAACAATCGCTCCCCCCCCAAAAAAAAACACATTATTTAGGCCGGCCATTTTTTTGGTCCTGGCTTGATTAAGGAAAAAACGCATTGAAGCGGCCCATCGATGTGTTTGAGCCGCCACATGATCAGCACCCAAATGGGGAGTGGTCGTCAGCACGAAATGGCAGCATGGTGTCTTCACCAAAATGCCCCAGAATGATGTCGTGTCGTCTGCCGCCGTCTGCTTGGAAGAAATGATGGTGGTTTCTGCAATGCCGCACTGCGAGGAGCTGGCCTGATCGAGTGGCGCCTGATGAGCCAAAATCGTTGAATTTGCATGGTAGCGGGCTTCGTAGTGACAGGAAGTGGTGGTGAGATGAAACTGTCCCCACCACGTGTACCACGGCGAGCTGGAGAAATGGGAAGATTGGTCATGGCAACTGAAGCGGTATGTTGGATTGTACAGGCCCTTTGCGAGGCGAGTGATGCATGATGGGTTCCCAGAGAGTCACCGCTCATGACTTGAGCGAAGCCTTTGACGTGCAGCAGACACAAAACAGCGAACTGTATTGTTCTCCTCACGACATTTAGCGTGCATGCTGGCGCAGAACATTGGCGGCGCCACGTGGGCGATTCATCGAAACGAGGACACAGAATGTCTTTGAGATTTGGGGAGGATTGCGCAGACAGTTTGCAGTGCCGAGTATCCTGAGTGAGATCCCTTCGCTCAAGCTGCGAGGTGATCAACTGGAGAGTGATCTGAGTGATGTCATCATCTTGAAGAATCGTTGGAGCTGGCATGTAGAATGGAAAAGCCGCTGAAAAGCCTCCCCTATGCCAAGAAGGATCTCATAGATGGGTGCATGATGAGTGCCTTGCGGAAGTCACAGCAGTGGAACTGCAAGAAGTGCTTGAGGAGAATGGCAAGGAAACGTGCAGTCGAGAAGTGACCGTCGTGAGCGGGACATGGGTGCAGAACTTATGCCAAGGAGGATCTCATAGATGGGTGTATGGTGACTGCCCTGCTTATGCAGAGAAGGACTGGTCCAATGCAGCAGTGTTTGCGTTGTAAGTGTTCGTAACATCAACACATTCAGCGAAGTCATGTAGATTGTGTCTAGCTATCTCAATAGCAGACATCTGGCTGTGCCAAGCATCAGGGATGAGGGTGGTCCAGCAGACATGGGCATTGGAGCATTGGAAGGGAAGAAACGAAGGAAAGGTAGAAAAGGGTAGTTCTGAAAAGATATGCACCAAGGAAAAGGCACGGGCACAGGAATGTACAAAGGCAAGAAAAGAAAGAGAGAAGGATGCCGGGGAATGAGAGGACAAGGAAAAGGAGTCAAAGCACATTCAGAGCGACAAGGTTGTTCTGTTTGTGGTGAGACGCCCCGATCGAGCATCCGAGGCGTTAAGCCTGGGATAATGCCGAACCTGTTCCACGCATGGAGCATGCTTTTGATCGGCGCACTGAATGCCGGAGTGCCCCCGGTTCTTGCCAAAAAACTGCCAGAGATTGATCCTGTGAAGTTTGATGACAGCTTGATTGAATTTCGCGGGCAAGCTTGATTGATCGATAAGTCGTGGATATGGTTCGACAGCGGAGCTTGTGCAAACATGGCTTGCGCCGGAATATCCTGCGCTGCATGTGAGTGAGAGTGCGCCCTGACTGCGAAGTTTGTCTGGAAAGACACTGGATATGCGGATATGCAAGGTAGCAAGATTGTGCAGCTTGACTGTAGCAATGGTCATCCCATGAGTGTACAGCTCTACTTGTGCACTGGATGCCGTTTCCACTGGTCAGTACTGCGGATTGTTGTTGCAGGACTTTTCGACCGTACGGGCGCGAGACTATCTTGCCTTGATTGACTCGACTGGAAAGCCTCTTCCGATTGTGCGACAGGGTACGTTGGCGTACCTGATACCGACTGTTATTCCGCATGCTGTTGTAGATGCGGCGAGACTGGCAGCGAGTTTTTGACTGATGTGTTGTCGGGAACGGAGCAACAGGTTACTGCATTGGGAGTTTGCTGCGCATGTCGGATTTGCATGACAGCTCGGTTGACTATCTTCAGCAGATTGGTGCCCTGATTGATGCCGCACAGGGCATAAAGAATGCTTATGGTTGCACGTATGACGCGTGGGAAGTGGATGAGTCCCAGCTGAAATTGATCCGGCACGTCCAGTCGTCCAGACAGAGCAAGGAAACGCTCGATCCCCGAATCGAAGCCTCCCAAACTTTGCCAGCACCAGTTTCCCGGTTGACTGGCGAAAGAGTGACATACAAGATGCTCGATGAGTGATCAACTGTCACTCTCAGGGATAGCAATTTCTTGACTTTGGCAATCACCCGGCCCAGGACCGAGTGCGCCACAAGCATGGGAAGAAGAGTGAGCCGAGCCCTTCATTGCTTTTCGCAGATTGGCAACCCTGAGCCTAAAACAGCGCTGCGCGTGGGCCAAACTACCTGCAGGCAACACGGAAGGGCCAACTGGGTGACTTGCCTGGTTAAGACCTTTGGCTACCATTTATGCCCGAAACTATGAATCTTTGTGAAACCTCCCCAGCTATCTGAGGTCTTCGCCGGTTTTTGTTTAAGGGGATTCGTCCTGTGGCTGTATCCAAACTTTTGTTACTACTTGAACCACCCCTTCCCCCCAATGGCTCTCCCCCACCGAAACCCGAAGACGTGCAGACATGTCTTGGCCCTAGGAAAGGAAGACTTTCGCACCAGCCTTCTCCCGCTCTTTTGTTGAACAATGTTGAACCGTTATTACAGTACCAGTGAAAGAAAGATAAGTTCAAACTATCTGACCCCTTCAACAAAAGCTGATGGCTGAGGCCGTGGTCGACAGAAGTATTTGGGATCAGGGCCTTGTGATGCTTTCCGTTTTGTTTTCGATTAGGGCTTTCTTCGGGTGCGGAGCTCGGCATTGCAGGCGGAGAACTCGTCGTCGGCAGCCTGCACAACCGGAAGAGGAATCCACAACGCAGGAACAGGAGGATCTCCAATATGTCTGGTTTGTGTATGCATGCTCGTGTGTGTGTGTGTGTGTATGTATATACCTACACGTTGGCAAGCACAAACACACACACACACACACACGCAAACACACGCACGCACATACACACAAGCTTACTTTTGATTACCCGCGTAAGATTATGTATACATCTACACGATACCGCAGCTAAGAAAGCAAACAGGTTTAAAGTCATAACTAACTAATTGGCGTGATTAGATGAAGCAACGACGATGGTTCTCCCTCTCTACATACATGTACATTTACACATACATGTATACATATATGCGAGGATATGAAGTATGTGAACAGGGAAATACATGAGCATACACGTATACATATATATATATGTGTGTGTGTGTATGGATATGTGTGTGTATGTGTATATGTCTATGTATGTTTGTATATATATATACACACACACATATACCTACATACATGCAGGCATGCAAGCATGCAGGCAGGCAGGCAGGCAGGCAGACATGCACGTGCGTCCGTATACCTGCGTACGCATGTAGGTAAACTGTACGTAGGGCAGGTAAGTATCCATGCATGCATGCATGCATGTATGTACGCATGTGCATATGATAGAATCGAACTAAGACCAAGCACACTCCAAAAGACGGTTGTGCATCAGAGCATCTTGCTACAAATCCTCGATTGGCCCTTCCGTGTAGCTTACTCAGGGACTCAGGTGATTGTGTATATGTTTCAGTGCAGCACGGAAGCAGCAGAAAACAACCCCCAACAACGTGAAACCATGCTCCTTAAACTCACAACGGTGCAAAAGCCCAGAAACCTGAAACTTCAAAGCCACGCAGCCCACACCCCAAGATGCAACCGATGATTGAAGTCGAGCAGTGCCTGCACGCAGGAAGAAGAAGCGCCTGCAAAGGCATCCGAAGCCAGCGACAGTCAGGAGTGTTAAGGATTTCGGGTCTAATGTACAGAGTTTAGCAAATGGTTTCCGGGATGTATGAATTCGAGTGATGTCTGAGGATGCGGCATGGTGGGAGAAGTTGTCACCTATGGCATGTATCTTCCGGCTCGCAAGGTATCAAGCAAGACGACCTGCATGGTAGCACACTCTGCGCAGAATTTCATGGAAGTGGTTTCCCCTGCGCAGGAGATCTTCTTTAAGCCATACCCTGCGCACTGGAGGCACCTTTTCGGGATGCACTTTTGCAGGCTTTCGGTTTCAAGACGTTGCGTCCAAAAGCCGGCACAAGCAGATTCGGGATTGACCTTCGGGTTCAAGGAGTACTTTTGGGGTGCAAAGTGCTGGAGACGATCAGCTCCAATGTCGGTTCATGGGGTTAGAACTTTTTGGAGTTAACTCCAAACCTTAAAATCCTAAAGCCCGGAACGCTGAAACTGTAAGCCCTGAATGCAAATTAAATATTCCTAAAGCCCTGAGTCAAATCCTAAGCTTCAGCTTTTTTAGTTGTAAGGCTTCATGTTTAGGCGGGCAACGAATAATCTTATTTTGCGCGTTTAAGGAGTCAGGGTCCAAGGGTAAACAGAGTGCCCGTGATTTGTTCAGAAATTAGCACTTTCCGCACGTTCCACAGTGCTCAACCTAAGTGTCAACTTCGCCCATCCTTTATCCACTACCCTCCCCCACTCCCTACCGACTAGCAAACGTAACAGCAGATAAGACAACCTATGCTAGAAACATGATATCTTCGAGCAAGGCAAGGTCAGCTTACCAGCGGGCTCCAAAGTGGGCAGCTGCTAGTCGGGGAGCTGAGGCAGATGCTCGGAAGAAAGCTTGAATTGATCTCCACGGAGTTGTCGTAGATTCTTCCGGAGAAACTTTTGTGAAAAGGTATGTTGGGCTTTCCACAATTACATCCCAGGATGCTCAACTCGCGGACGCTGGGTCACCTTAGCTGCGCTTACTGATCGAAGAGCTTGGAATCAAGCTGTCGGAGTTTTCACCAGTGGTCAATCTGGTAACATCTCGGTGAAGTGTCGCAGGGTAACAGGGATCGTGCGGGGCAGGTTCACTGTCCTTCTGACACGCATGTCTTCGAATCCTCAGATCCCTTGCAAAAGCTTTTCTGTCGAATTCGCAACATGTCCATGATTTCCATACATTTTCATGTTCGCATTCTGCCTTAAAGGGCTGCCCTCTGGAGACTGGGCACGCGACTCCTGAGGTGTCGTTTACGTCCCGGACGCGGGGGAGTTCCTCATTTCAGGCCAAAATGCCATGAACCGTGCCGTTGACGGAGACATAGCCGCTTGGCCTATCTTGCTGCATCGAATCTTGGCAGCGCCCAAATAGTGCAAGAAACAGATGTTAGGAGGTCAGATGGCGCCCAAAATCTAGGGCGGATGGTCACGGGCGTCAAGCAACCTCGTGAGTCTTTGATGTGGTGGTGGGCCGCACCCTTGCAATTACAAGAGCAATACCAATCGGAGAAAGACGAAGCCAAGCGTCTCAGGTCATTATCGAAAAGCTGCGAGCTTCCGAGGTCTGCCAAGTGGGAGTGCAGAAGCGCCGTTCGTAACGTGCAGAGCGCATGCAGGAGTAGCAGCCCAGTCCTTTAATATGCCATAGACTCGTAACTGTCTAGTACTAGTAGGAGGAGTAGGACGATGAGTAGGAAGAGCTTTCCAGCATATTGCTGCTGTTGTGTTGGTTGTTGTTGCATTTGCAACGTAGCAAGAGCAGCGATATCAGTAGGACGAGGAAGAGGAAGGCGTGAGTAGCTAGCGACAGCCACAAGTTGTACTGACAAGAAAGCAAATCTGTCTTCACATAGGTTACCTGCCAGCCATACCTGTACAGCAGTGTAATAGCAATCAGTGGCAATCAGCCTGAATAGCCCTGCAGAGTGATATCGGAAGCTAGTCCATTGTATCATGTGCAATCCGTATGGAAATTCGGTCCAGCAGCGACATATGCCAAAGTCTCTCGATGAATAACCGACTCCACTGGTGTCATGGGCAGGCCAAGCGGGGACGACGACAAGAGTTGAAGGGAAAGGCCCGACATCCTACGGGCAGGGCAGGGGCTTTGGGGGTAGAGTCGGTACAGTGGCGTGAACTGGCTAATTGCCATTCGACAGCCACTGGTTCGATTTATGTTTCGAAGATGATGTGTCCGTGTATGCAAGTGCTTAGTGGGTCTCCCTGTGCACTGTTGCTGTAGCATCGGGGTTTTTAGCTGCTGTCACCGTAGGACGTTGGCCTTCCAGCAGGATTGCTCGCTTTGAACCAACCCCTCGCCTAAGACAAGTTGTCAGGCACTGAAGGATGGCAACGACGTTGTGGTCATGATGGGCAAGCCAGCTGCGACTATCGTTGCCATCAAAAAGAGTGGCCTGCCTGTCTATGTCGAGCCAAGCTAGGCAAGACACTAGGGCACAAGGGTCTTGATAGAACATGAGGCGCTTCCGGTTATTGTTATGGCAACGACGGGATCGTGACTGTCAAGCCAGGGGACAGTCCACACACAACCTTTGGAAAGTCAGAGAAACAGCTTCTTCCAAAGCAGTCTGGGCTTCTTGCACGTCAGGGTATGCTATCAATGGAAGCTAAAGACTGGCGCTGGTAAGTTCCTACCTCCACAGAATGCCGGCTAGCATCCTCCTCTCCGCCCCTCCTGCTCGACGACGACGACATCACGGCCCCTGCTGCCTCTACAGTCCCGACTTCCAGAAGCAGTTCCTGCAGCTGCCAGGATCCCAGAGAGAGGTGGGTGGAACAATTTATGCCATCGATGCTCTGGAGGAGGCCTTGATCTGGGTCGGGCAGCTTGCAAAGGTTTGAAGCACTCGGGCGCGTGCAGCTTTAGGAGTAAACCCGAGGTTTCAACAACTGGAACAGTACATGCAACCTCGAAGTTGAAGACATGCGGATACGAGTCGCTGAGCGCCTGGATCAATCATTGTCGCCCTCGGTGATGAGGGCTCGCTCTCTCTCTCTCTCTCNNGTACATCCACCCTCAAAGTCGTCGAAGACTTACGGATACGAGTCGCAGACCAATTCTTGTCACCTTCCGTGATGCGAGCTCTCTCTCTCTCTCTCTCCCTCCCTCTCTGAGTCTCTAAGCCTTTCTTAAGCGCTCTGCGTGCGCCTGATCACCACGAAGCTCCGAAGCCGAGCCCTCACGTTCAGAAGCGGGAGCTTCTCTGGAAGACCAAAGGCGTGGAGCAGGCTTCGGGAGACTGGGGGGGGGATCTGTGGGAAAGTCGGGTCTGAGCAGTCCGAGTGGCATGGAGCTTGCGGATCGGGGGTGGGTCCAATGCTTTCGGAGCTGGGATTGGAACCCTTCCTGTGAACTTCAGCGAAGCGTTCAGGGCTCTAGCTCGGCAGAGCCTCAACACTCGTGCTCAAGCCTTTAGTCAAGTGAGCTTGCCGTCGAAAGCTATTCGTGGAAGCCTCACGATCCCGTTAGCCAGACATGAGCCACGAAGCCAAAGCACCTTCTCAGCCGAATACTGTGCCCGCCATCTATCTGAGGATGGGCTAAGTCGAAGCAGATCTGAGTTGGTATCTCTCCTCTCCAGCAATTGCTAAGTTCAACGCCGCACTGCAGACTCATCATCTTAGCTGTCTTAGCTCCTCGGATGAAAGCCGATGAAGCGCTGCTATTTCATACAAGTTCATACAAAGCATTATAGTGAAGAAGAGTGACGCACCATCGGCAGCGGGAGGATGACTGTCTCTTCGTCCCGGCGGACAGCAGATTCCCGGACATGTTGGTCAAAGTCACGCCCGAGAAGTACGAGGATCTGAAATAAGCGCAGCACAGCGATGAAGACTCTCATTACGATTTTCTTGGATGATGAACATGGAAGACCCCCCCCCCCACACCCTAAACCCTAAACCTGAATTACCAATTCCTAGACGTTATAAGCCCTAAACCCTAAATCCTAGCCTTAGTTTCAGGATCAGCGGGTCACCGTCATACTCAACACTTGGCAGCTGCCTGGCCGAAGTCCCACAGACTCGCATCATGCTGGTATGTTTAGGTTTTAGGTTGTGAGGGTTAAGGGGTTTGCGGTTGAGGGTGTGAGGTTCAGGGGCGTAGGTTTAGGTTTTAGGGTGTGAGGTCTAGGGTTTAAGTTAGGCTGTGAGGTTTGGGGTACGTCCGACTATCCGAGCTTGTCTTGTGCAACTGAAAAGCCGGATTGGTCTTGTTTCAGACCACAGTTTGGGGGAGAGCCCATCGATTTCTATATACGGTAACCCTCTCCACCCCCCGTCCCCATGTCTGTCCCGAAGTAGTTTCAAATTGAGGCAGTTCTGCCCATATCCTCGAGCACGCTTCTCGCGGAGTCTGGGCAAGATTGGGGACGTAGAGGTTGAGACGGAGATGATCTTGCCTCGTGCCTGCATCTGGTGTAGTCCCAGAAATATAATATCCTGTGGTACCCTCACTAAGGCAACCTCATACTACCCTTAGAATATACTGCAGCTACGATGTGATCCCTCATCGCGAATCGTGGGCCCACGCAAGAACTTTTGGAAGCAGGAGCACGGCCTATCGTGGGCCATTCACAAGACAGGTGTCCTGCGGTCCTGCGGATGCAGCAGTAACCATCCATACCGCCTTCAGACGGTTGTCTTTGGAAGACCCCTTGTGGAAACCCTACCCTAAACCCTAAACCCTAAACCCTAAACCCTAAACCCCTAAACCCCTAAACCCCTAAACCCCTAAACCCTAAACCCTAAAAACCACTGGTTATTCACCAGGCTGGAGTTCAACGTCAAGGACGAGCCCTTCACAGAGGACCCCGACCCATTGCCAGCTTACAGCAGGGTCATGAAGGTACTTACCAGGCTTTCTGAAGAGGGTCTATGGGGGTTTAGGGAGTTTAGGAGTTTAGGATGCCTTTAGACAGGATCTTCATTTCGCTCTCCGTCTTTGTGTTGGCTTAGCGCTGCTTGAAGCTTGTGCAGGAAGTGCTGAGCTGCCTTCCACCGGAAGACTTCGCGCCGTCAGAGGAGGATTTCAAAGGCAGCTGCGACGGTTGGAGCCAAAAGAACTTCGGCAGTTGCTGACACCCATCCGAGCTCGAAGTAGCAGCAAATCGGTGTGGGGATTCATGCTGGTTTATGCGTTCTTGAGGCAGATTTCGATGTTCCGGTCTTTCAGAGCAGTAGGTCTAGGGCCGAGAAAGATTCTCCAAAGCATCGTCTGGGTCTGATTCCCTTTCGTCCTGCGGACTCTGAAGCGACTTGACATCGGAAGTCAGCGCATTCTCTCGCTCTCTCTCCTGCTCTCTCAAGCTCTCGCTCAAGCTCTCGCTCTAGTCTCTCTCTCTCTCTCTGTCAGTCTGTTGGTGATGTCATCTGCTGGGATGGAGATACCCGCGTCCGTTGAAATCTCAGAAAACCCACCTCACCCCCTTCCCGTTGCTTTGCAAAGATTGACTGACAGGTCGCATGGACTTTCGAGATGTGTGCGTATTCTCGATCGATCCTCCCGGCTTCTTGGCCGAGTGTTGGGATGAGTCGGGCTAACATCAGAGTGGCCTGATGCACATCTGAGGCGTGTTTGTGCATAGCCGTTCGTGGTCGGTCCGCTTTGATGTCTTTGAATTGCTTCCTACATCCAGTTGTACCTTGTTCTGCTTTCCTTGGCGCAATGATGTGCTTTCATTTGCCACTCGCCGGCTGAATGCTGAAAATGAGCCCGAAGACAATCGCTTCCGATGGCTTGCTGAAGGTTGTGAAGACGTCGATGACGCCCTGAGCTGCGAGCAGCTGGACAACGGCAACTTCCGCATTGGGGTAGTCTGGCCTGAACTGCATTGTTTTCTGCTCAATTATAATTATGCTGTGAAAGGGAGATACTTCCAAACTTGCCACCGATCTAAGCTTGAAGCAGTAGTCTTGGGAGCACGAACGGTTCCGACACACCAAAAGTCTTAAGAAGAAGTGGCTAGAGTGCGAGCGATGGCATTGGCTATACAGTTACATGCAAGCAGAACTTACGATCAATGCTCGCTCGAATCATGCGGCACTTATGGTTCCGTTGCAGTGGTTGGTAACCAGCCTACTGAGGCTGAGCAAAGTGATAAAAGGGATACAATCCATGGCTGCATCTCAAAGTCTTTCCGGTCGGACTGGGTGCATGGCCCACTCTGCCCGACTTGGAACACTAAACCCAAGGCTTTGCCAACATCCGAGCCCAAGACCCCTCAGCAGTGAGCCATGCCATGATATCCCATCTAAATACCTACAGACCTCCACACGCGCTTGCTCTCTCTCCCTTTCTCCCTCTCTCTTTGTTCTCTCCTTCTGTATATACTTGCATATCTACAAGCGCTCTGTGAGTGCTGCTGTTCCCCGATGTGCGACTCGATCGAACTGTTTTGACAGCTTTTTCCGAGAGGGGTTCTTCAACCAGTTCTTGCAGCCTGGAGTTTTCCAGAATTCGCAGGTGAAGACAGTTCTACAACTGTTCTGCATCAGAGTGCCTCATGGGTTTGGTGACCTTACGTGCATTGTGCCAGACTGCCGTACTCAGTAATTCCCGGCACTTACAAAGAATATGGAACGCTGCTTCAACGGCTTCTTGTGCTACCGCTGCAATGCAGTAGAGCAGTGTGTCGGCTGTTTACGTCTAGTTCTCGCATTCGCTTACGCTTCTTCGATGGCCACGTTGCTATCTGCAGTCCGAATAGCGGTCTGCAGCCACAAACCTGAAGGGACGGAGCCTGCCGAACCTCAAAATCCGAGGTTTCATTCCATGGTCCATATCCTACCATCATAATTACCCCTCGAAGCACTGCAGAAACCCTAAACCCTAAACCCTAAACCCTAAACCCTAAACCCTAAACCCTAAATCTATGCCTCTTACAAGCAGGTCCACATCGCCGATGTGACCCGGTTCGTGAAGCCGGAGACCGAGTTGGATCGGGAGGCCACGTTGAGATGTCTGCGGGGTTAGGCTTAATTAGGGGTTTGGGGGTTTGGGGTTTAGGGTTTAGGGTTTAGGGTTTAGGGTTTAGGGTTTAGGGTTTAGGGGTTTGGGGGTTTGGCGGTTTGGGGGGTTAGGGCTTGGAGGAATTTAGGATTGTCAATGTTAACACGACTATTGATGGGATATGAATGGGCTGCACGGCGGCAAGGATGACAAGTGCTACTGCCACTCGGCAAAGGGCAGTAGATGGGCAAAGCAACAACATTTCTGATTTCACAATCAGAGCTCTTAACAGCTCCATCTTCATCATCACACCCGATTACTGTCATCGTCGGCGGCGTCGTAGTATCAGTACTGGCCTTGCTAGTAGCTGTCGTCTTGGTGACAGTCGTAGTTGCTGCCGATGTGTCGTTGTCGAACAAGAAGAAGAAGCCGACGTCCGATGCCGCCCCCACAGCGAAATACAATAGCATATGTACAACCAGTTGAGGCTGCGAACAAGACTGACTTACAGAATTGCTTGCAGGGCCCGTGCTGCTGGTATTTGTTCTCAAGTCTGAAGTAAGCAAGAATGTTGAGCAAGCTGATGAACAGGCTGCTGGCTGTTGGAGTTGACCCGGGGTTGTGTACGACCCTTTCAAGAGTTGAAGAAAGTCGCAAGGGCGCAGAGCGGAGCACATCCGTCTACCTTGTCAACAGGCGAGTGGCTGCTCGGATGTGATTCTCCTCGGGTTCCGGTGCGAGCAGTAGTTTCTGAGCCAGTCATCAATAGGCCTTGTGTCGCATGGAGTGTTGGCATCAGAAGCCATCCGGAATGTGCTCCATGGTTCTAGAAGTGGAGGCATCGGGATTTTCAACAGGGGCCAGCCTTGAAGGGAATTCTCAATTGGGGATCTGATTCGTGGGCTCCTGGGTGGTAGCGAAACGTCCCTGAAATTCCATCTTGCCAGGCAACCAGCAAAACCGCGCGAGTTGGTGGGCAAGGGTGGCAAACATGGAGGAAGTTCCAACTCCCCCTCTGCAACCTTGATTTACACCTTTGCAGCTGAGCTTCCTACTCAGAGTGAACCTCTTGAAGTCACTTGCCAGCCAGAAAAGTTGAAATTGAAGCTTCAACGAATGAGCTTAGCGGTCGACCCCTACCTCTCCGAGGACATGCTGCCCAAGCTTTTGACAACGGAGATCTGCTCCTTGAGATTTGACGGCAAGGCTAGGGCCGCGCAGTTGCCTGTTCCTGCTCTCCTGCTAATCGTTTTTGACTTTTCATGATCGTTGTTAGCCCCTTCTCCTCATGGAGAGCCTGTTCTTCACAACCTCCTCGCAGGACCATTTGACCTTTTCTGCGGTTTTCGAGCTGACCCCGGATGCGGAAATGGTCAGTGCGCAATTCAACAAGGTGCGTCAGCGGTTGGTGGGTGACTGGGATGCCGGGCCATATGGAACGTGCTGGAGGCCATGTTTCTCGAGTATTTTTACGTGATTTGGGTGTTACATGTTTTTACTTGTGCTGTTACAAAGATGCAAACGAAAACTACACCATGGTTCCTGCAGGGGTACATCCCTCAATAAAGCTACACCTTCAAATCCATCTCGCTACATGAATACATCGTTCGCGGAGTGTATTACTAGTGTTATTTTACGGTTAGTGTTTGATTGAGAGTCGTAGTCGTATTTGATCATACACTTTATATGGAACAAACCCACAAAGCGCAGGCATATGCAGGCATCCACAATGTCCCGGTTGCGGTGGCATATCGACAGTTGCATGTGCAACAGATGCGTATGCGTATGCGTAGAGCATAAAATTTAAGAGCCAGGCAGTGCTAAAGTTTGCGAAATGTGGCAAGCACTCGAAGTGTGATCATGCTGCTTGTTGTTGAGGGAGATTTGATGCCGAATCAGTGAAGCTTTGATACATAGCCCAAAGCTTCCTTCATGGCATTGCGAAGCTCTCCAGGCTGTGATTCGATCCAGAGGGGCTCTTTCCTACAAGGAGGCGTATGCCACATGATCTCGCACCTTTTTGGTGCACGTTTGCGAAGGTCTCATTTGGCATTCGGCATCACTTGCGAAGCATGAAGCGTTTCAAGGATGTCACATGCAGATATGTTCGCAGGCTAGCTTTGGGGTTTACAACGGCTTTGTCGCCTGCACGATGTTGAGACAAAGGATTGTCAGCGTCGCCTCACGGGGGAAATTTTGCGCAAAGATTTGGTTCTCTGCGACAGGTCTCATGCAAGCTGTACGTAGCAGTTAATCAGCAATATGGCTGGCGCCCTCAACTCATAGCTACGAACTGAAGCAATGCCTGTGTACCCTCGGATTACATATGCCGTGGCTACCCTTCAGCTGTCAATCATGGCCTGAATTCAACAGAACGAAGCAGCAGATGAGCCTCAATTGCAACTTCGCCGGACCGCCTTCGCGATGGTGTAGAGGAGTGTAGATTACAAGATGGTGAGAAGGTCACAGGAGATCAGCGTCTCAAGCTCGGAAGACAGGGACGGTCCTACAGCAAGCCGCACCTTCAGTGTCAGAGCACCGGTTGAATGCTGAAGCCGGTGCCAGGCTCAAGAAAGGTTGGACTCCGATCCAGCGGATGACCAGTCGGAAGTCAGCCCCTCACAACTCTGCCTCTTTTGGGTCTTCAGTTTTGGTAGAAATTGAAAACCGTGTGTGGCTCAGCTTCGTTGTGGGTCCCACGGCATTCGAAGCTTGACGGATGCGGCGTCGTCGCTAGAATGACCTACAGTCCTGACCTGCTGGCTTTCATGCTGTGTTGCCACAGATGTCTACCCGAAGTGCCGCAGCTCCGAGTCTTTGCCTCCTTTTACTGCCTTTACTGCTGCAAGAAGTGAGTTCTGTCAAAAATGCCTTTCGTGTATGGCCTTCACACCTATCGAGCATCATCTGTGTCCTCTTTCAACAGAAGCAGTGGCAAGCAAGAACAAGTCTATACCTGGCTCTACCTGCAATGATAATAACCTTCCACTGTCAGGCCCTCATGTTCCTGGACGTTCCACCTACCCTCTGCCCATGAGGTCACCGTGGCCATCCGCAACCTCTGGGCTCTTGCCCAAAAGCTTCGGTCAAAGAGGATCGAGGCGCCCACTGCATGGCACGGGTCTGGCTTGGGGCTGCGCCAATGCATGGAAGAACCAATCAGAATGGTTTCGAACAATGTCTGACTTCCTGTATTTGACTTTCGACAGTTTTTGAAGACCTCAACCTCCGATTTTCAGACACCTTCCCGGATGTGGTAGGCGCGCAGTAGAGAGTCCGACTAGCTTTCAACAGCCCTGCATTCCGCAGCTAATGGTACTTCTATTCCTCTTCGCACTCCTACTTACTACTACGACTGCTTCTCCTACTTTGTTGACTCCTCTTGCTACTCGTATCCCTGCTGCTACTGCTACTGCTGCTGCTGCTGCTGCTACTACTACTACTACTACTACTGTATTATCATTATTTTTGTCACCTCTGCTACTACTACTGCTACTACTACCACTACCGCTACTCTATTTCGCACTGTTTGATCTAGCCTTTGCCAGGACGGAGCCTTGAACTTGGAGAGCGGTGAGCTGAAGTTTGAGCGCCTCACTTGGACGGCGCATCCGGGATCATCGTCGCGGTAGTAGGGCAAACTAGAAAGTAGTTGCGATAGTGAAAGAGTAGCAGCAGTGGTGAAACTAGTAGTAGTAGCAGCTGATACCAACGGAACCCGAATGAACCGACAAGGAGAAAGCTTGTTGAACCAGCCCTGTCACATGTCTCCCATGGTTGAGGGTACCCTCGAATCCTGGGATTCTAGCTAATCAGGCCCAGAGATTCTTCGGCGCGCAAAGCCTCAGCTCAGCTAGATGTTTCTGTGTCCCCTCCAGCATCGAAGGCTTAATCCAGGTGGTCTGTTGCGTGCAACTCAGGATTTCGTTAGCCTCCAAAGTTTCACTTAGCTGCCTAGCAGGATACGGAGGCCTGGCACACCGGCATTGCCAGAATCCACTGAGCCTTGCAGACTGTGCAGGATCATCTAGGCACGTGGTTTAGGGCGCAGCCGTCTCCCTGAACAGGTATTTGAGGGGTGTAGATGCCACCAGCAGTGGTAGCCCGATGCTGTACCTTTAGCAGCGCCCAGGCTCGATTCAGAGAATCAAACTGCTGTCAACGTCTTCCAGTACCAAACCTACGACACCAATCGCCTCATCGAGGTTCGACACTGGGATGCTTCGGGGACAACGGGGACAGGGAGGGGTTTAGATTCCTCCAATTCTCGGGCTTGCTTAAGACTGACATCAACCATCGGGATGCTTTGGGCCACGCATCTCCTTTGCTCTCTCCTCTCCATAGGATTGGTAGAGGCTAGTCTTTCCTGCTCCGGCTGCTTAGTTTGAGGGTTTGGGGTTTAGGGTTTAGGGTTCAAGGTTTGGAGTTGAGAGTTTAGGCTTTAAAGCTTTTGGGGCTTACTTAAGGTTAGATGTTGAGGGTTTAGCGTTGGAATACCCCTGCAGGAGTTCATGCTCCTGGCGAATCGGAGAGTGGCGGAGGCTCGAGGGAGAGTGCATGTGTGGAGATTCGCCTCTTTTGTTGTTTCCCGTTGTACTGCACCAGCAAAAGCAGTATATTATAGTACATGATAGTATACTACAGTATTCGACACTTGCTCTCGTCCGCCCCGCAGAAAGCTTTTGTTAGGATCGCCTTGGCTTTCTGTAGTTGGTTCATGTTATACTATAGCACGTGAAAATCAAAGTAATATACTCTGTATTATTGCAGCTCCCGCCTCCCCTTCTTTGCAGCCTCAAGCGCACCTTGAGCCCAGCGATGCCCGACTTGTACAGTATGCTACAGTAGAGTGTGATCTCGATCTCTTCTCCCTAACTTTACATGAGGGGGGGGGGGGCGCCCCTCCACCCCAATACTACAGACTCGGAAAGTGGTTTTTTATTTGTTAGGGGGCATTTAATCTCTACTGGCACTTTTGAGGGATCTTGCTCTTGGTGCTGCTCTGGCTCTTGCTCCTGCTCCTGCTGCATCTCTTGCTCTCGTGCTTTTGCTCTTGCTGTTGCTTCTGCTCTTCCTCTTGCTGTTGCTCATACTCTTGCTCTCGCTTTTGCTCTTGCTCTTACTCCTGCTCTTGCTCCGGACCCCCTAGTGCAAGTTCGGTTTTAAAGGGCAGGGATGATTTCGGGAGGATTGGCCCCAAAGTGTTTTTATAATTAGGGGGGAGTGTTTGACAAATGGGCGAAGAGATTATTGCAGTATGGTATAGTATAGTTTACTATACTATACTATACTATACTATTATAGTATATTGTAGTATAGTATAGTATGGAAAGAAAGGAGATCAGTGGCTGCTGGGACAAGACGAGCGTTCTGCGACGGCATCCGCCGCCGAAGGCCAAGGGCTGACCGGGGCATTATAGTACATTATAGCATACTACAGTATGGTACAATTGTAGTATAGTACAATATAATATATATATATACATATATATATATACATATATATATATAGCATAATAAAACAGAGTATGACCACAATCTGCGCGTGCAAGGGTTTGAAAGTTTCGACTTGCGATGAAAACGCTCCGTGGCAAGTTCTCGCCCGCGATTCAAATTGCAATCTTCTCGCACTGCTGAAGTTCTAGTACATCTTTAGGCCCAGATCCTCTATACCTTTAGGCCCAGATCCTCTATGCCTTTAGGCCCAGATCCTCTATGACGCTTTCCGTGCTTGCTATCGGGAATTCTTGGCCAGGAGGAGAGCATGGACGACTTGGTGACCCTACTGGATGTACTCTGGCAACTGAGGGTTTAGAAGACTCGGGCCTCGCGTCGTCTCGGGCCTCGCGCTGCTGGGGTTTACGATTGCATTATCTTATAAGATCTTCATATGATATTATTTGATCTTATATGAGATTATATGATACTATACGACCTGATGTAATATTGTTAGTTTATCAATGATAATGCATGGTATTATATGGTTTCTTAGCGCGTTATATCATAAATACTGTATTTTCCAGGCTATGTTATATATTACACAGTATGATATTAACTATAGAGTGTCATATTATACTACGCTGTGTTTTATAATGTCATACCATGTTAGATTGCACCATTTCGTTTGTTTCAATGTTATAGTTCTTCTATGTGGCTTTACATCTCATCATATTCGCGTTTATGCTACTATACCAGAATATGATATGTGTGATGTCATGTGTTGCTGCTTTATATTCTATCAAGCTGTTTCGTATTATGTTATACTCTACTATGTTATATTCTACTATATGATGTCATATCATGCTATAGTGTAACATATCATATCATACTTTACTGTACTGTAGTGTTTTGTATTTTGGTGTGTTGCATTGTATTTTGATGTACTGTATTTTATTGGTTTGTATTTTTTGTATTGTATTGCATTGTACTGTATTGTGTTTTATGGTTATGTCATATCATACTATGTTATGTTAGATTATATATCATGACTCGTGTTTGGATATCGTGCGTCTAGGGCTTCGGGCAGAGGGTTTAATGATTTGTGACGTGCTCAGACGGCACATGCGGCGAGGAGGCCTCTCTGTCTCTGAAAGTAGGTGTCATCGTTCTTGTTCCTGCTCCTGTCCGTCTTTCTTGCACTATCTCTGGTTCTCCAGCGCCGGTGCCTCCTCTTCTCTCCGTCTTCTCTTCTCTCTCTTGTCCTGGTTCACTGGTTGCCAGTGTCTCTCGCCCGTCTCTCCGTCTGCTGTGACATTCCTGGCCGCGGGCTGCAGGCTTACGGGATCAAAGACTTCAAGCATGCCACGAACAAGGACAGAGAGTAAGGTTGGCCTGTCGGAGTTAATGGCGCAAGAGTTGCAGTTCTAAAAGTTCCCCTCTGGCGTTGAACGCTGATTTCACTTGCGATGCTACCAGAAAACCAAGAACCCTCTGCGAAGATACGCCTGCAAAGTCATGATACTGTCTTCTAAACCCTACACTCCTAAACCCTATGACCCCTCAACCCTAAACCCCTAAACCCCAAAACCCTAGACCCCATAAACCTCCAGGCTTCCTTGCTTGGGGAGCATTTGGTGGAGCCCTTTTTTTTCAGGGCCGGGCCGGGGTCGCCCCGAAAGCCCATGAGCCGAGTTCCCACTGTACTGGCATGGGTACTCTTGGGGTTTAGGGTTTAGGTAATCTAGGTCCCTGAGTGGTACCCTTTTGCCCTTTTTTATTTTTGGGCCCTCTATTAAAACCGAATAGTAGGAAAAAGGGTACCCTTATTGTAAAGAGGCTACTCAGGAACCAAGTAATTAGGGCTTAGGATTTAGGGTTGGATTGGGGCCTTTGCAGTCTGTCAGGGTTGGTTTCCGCTCTTGATTTGGGAGCTTGGCGAATCTGCTAAACTCACTACGAACGAACAGTGTCGACAACATCTGCTAGTTGTCCGATCTCGTGGCTCTTCGGGGCTGAAGATTGAATCCTTCTGCTCAGTCCCCTCCTCAGGCGCTGGAAGCTACTCGTAGCTTCAAACCCTAAACCCTAAGCTTTAAACGCCTTAAACCCTAACTCACCAGCGGCCTTTGCTCGCTTAGCATCGAGCTCTGCACGAGGAGCTCCAGAGGTCTCTGGACACTGTGGACAAGCCAGACGACCCCTTCTTCAACAGGACCCTTCCAGTGCCCATCTTCGGTCCCTAAACTCGCCTTCAGGGCCCTTTTCTGTCGCAAATCCCTCGAAACGGTTCTGTTGTCCTTGAACCGTCTCACTTGAAGGCTGGTGCGCATTCTTTCTACGCGCTGCATGGAGCCAGCGAGGCATCTTGACCTGACGAAGCGGAGCCGCTCCTGCACATGTTTAGCAGAGCACTGCAGGTATTTCTGCACTGGAGATGGAGAGCTCCAGAAGAGTCAGTGGGCGCATTTCGGTTTGGCAGCTTGGGCAGCAAGAGCATTTGATGTTGGTGCTTGGATAAGGTGTCGCTGGTACTCTTGAGCTGTCAGCAATACTGACACCGTCTGCACTGATAGTACCATCACCATCATCGATCTTCATCACCACTTCTTTCTCAAATGCATCCCGTGGCCAACATCACAAGCTCGAAGCTTGATGATGATGGGTAGCATCATCAGCACCAACAGCATCATCATAATGACGAGCATGATTCGATAGCTGAATGGTGATGGCGATGAAAGCAAGAATTGACACCATGCTACTGTTCCCATCATACCACGGGTCAACCCGTCGGGTTTATGTAGTGAGCCCGAAGCAAGACGTGCCAGCAGAGTTGCAGGAGGTCCGAGGCCGGAGGGTCGAAGGCTCGGAACAAAGCCGTCACGCACATCATCCTTTGCTTCCTCCTCATCGCCATTATTTCGAGCATCATCGTCAGCATCATCATCATCACCTTAGTCATGATGCATGTTTTCATCATCTGACATCAGCGCCTGAAACGTTTGAGGTCATGCTGTTTTTTATGCGATATTGCTATGCCACAGTATCCAGAAGGCCATGCTCAGCTGGCCAAAGCTATGATTACCAGCAAAGCTACGCTGCAAGCAGAGAAGAGAGCACCTGGAGACATAGTGACAGGGTGTTGTCAACACTTTGGTTCAGCTTAGATGAACCAGCAAGGCGATGGACCACTACACGCATTTCACTTCCCCGATCCGACGGTATGCCGATGTTGCGGCTTCGATGCACTGATGATGGCTTGAGTTTTGTTCCGGCTTGTCACGAAAAAGGGGGGGGGGTAGTAGGAGTATTCAGAGTAGTAGGAGGAGTAGGAGTAGGAGTGAGGAATTTCAGAGCTAGGAGCAAGGAGTGGGGTTGGTGCAGGGGAGGGAGTATGCGTACTGGTAGCAGCAGCAGTAGATGCAGTTGAGCTGCAGATCTCGACATACACGTGGACGTAGACCTAGACTTAGAAGTAGAAGTAGCAGTTGCTGCGGCAGCAACAAAGCAAGAATAGTAGTGGTGGTGGCAGTGGTGCCAACAGCTTACCTTGCAGCAGCAGCCATCGTCTTCTGAGCCACGGTCCTAGTTGTGCTCGTTGTCGTCGTCGTCGCGGTAGCAGTGATGGTTTCGGCTACGCCCTGTTTGCACTTCGGTTTGTCTTGTCATGTAAGACGAGCCAAGTACAGCTTTTCCTTCTCGGAAGCGTTGCACTTCGTGTGATCGCAGCAGTCCGGGCACATGTGGGTTCAGCAACTTTTTCTTTGAGGGGCCATCTTCCAGAAATGTGGCACTGAAAAGTTTCGGCAAACAGATGAACGTTCGCACCTTCCCAAGCTGCCGTGTCCTGTCGACCTGCGGATGGTAAGTGTTCCAGCATATCTTCTTCCCAATCCGTGGCTGATCAGCTGGTCGAGAAGCACATCACAGGGCATCGGTTCAGTGACTTTTCCGACAAGCTCCACATGGAAATCCCCCTGAAGGAGATGACATCGGTTCGGTGTGCAGTTAAACACTTCCTCTGCAGTCAGAGGCGGTTGCCAGAAAACTTTTGGCTCACTCCCTCGGACACGGAATCTGTGCGTGAGCAAAACATTCGCTCCGAACGGTGGAATCTGGCATCGATGTACTTGGTTGAATCCTTCGGGCAGGATATCATGTTTTCACCCAGAACCTCGATGCATGATTTGGCAAAACAGTATGTTACACGGCAGAAGATGGCTTCTGCTTGAGCTCAAAGCGACCGATAAATTTTGGCATGCTAGAAGTCCGGCCTCTCTTGCTATCTGATCCATCATCGACGACAAAAAGAAGGATGTGCTGTACTGCATATTGCTACCAACATGCGATGTGCAAGGCAGAAGGCTCCGTCCGTTCACTATGCCTTCCTCCTGCATGCGAAATTCTGGCAAGCTCGAGAGCTGGACGTGTGATCAATATCAGGGCGCAGTGTTCAAGACCATGCAAGAGTTACATCGCTATTTGGTTTACCTCTAGGCGCACAACTCCGTGAAGCTAGCCGGCATGGACTTCCGCTTTATCGAGGTGGCATACACTGCAAGCATCAAAGGACTTGCTAGATAGAGTCAGCGGCAAAGGGATCCCCACCGAGACTGCTTTTGAGCCTGCATTCACCTTCGAAGATCAAGATCATCCAGGCATACAGCAGTGGGGGGTGCATGCTGCGTTCGCGTGTTCACATGGCGTCTGGTACTATAAACCTGTCTTGCTGTCTGCATTGTTCTGGGAGTTAATTCAGGCCAAGTTTGCAGAGGATGTGCCGATGGTTCAGGTCAAGGCCATGATGCTGCAGAAACAACTCAGCATTGCAGGATGAACACGATCATTGCCATTCCTTGGCTCCCACCTTCCATAAAGACTTGGAGGACAAGGACAAGGAGATTGCGAAACTGAAGTCTTTCATCCCTAATTCGATTTATGCAACTCCTAGGTCCTAGGCTTCGTCAGCCGCAGATCACCTACTACTTGAAGAGACAGGATGAGAAGCAGGAGCCGCCCACTCCCATGAAGCGGACCCTCTCCAAAGGCAAAACAGCAAAGGACGACCTTGGGAGCTTTGCTTTGGCGCTAGCCATACGATCCTGAAACAGTGTGCCACGGGACATCACACGCTGTATGATTTCGGGGTCAGGGTCGGGAAGCACCGCCTCGTCGCCAACTTGTACAAGGGAGGGCGTATGAAGCACGGTTATCCCGCTAATGTTGTTGAAAGGGAACACAAGAAAACGTGTCCTTAAGGTTATTTCTTCGAGCAGCTTTCCCAACATTTTCAAATCTGACGAAGTCCAGTGGATGCAGCTTTCACGTCGTTTTCTCGATGTGTGCTTCTAACGCTTGCACCTCGTGTGATGCTCTCTACAAGCTCGCGCTTCCGTGTTATAATATGCGTCTTTCCGCAGCTGTTGTTGAACTTGGCGTCAATATGACGACGGTGATGATGATGATGATGATGACGGACAGCAGGAGTGTTACTGTTGAAGCGCTGTGAAACCGTGTTCCGTTCTCTCTACTTTTCTCCCCTATACCGTTATCATGACGATGATGCGGATGGCCCTGGTGACCCCAATGATTGTCGTGTTGATGATGATAATGCAGACTACGGCAAGAAATGTGATGGCGATAAGTTTTCGGCATGAAAGATGCTTTATTTTTAGCCGCAACATTACTATTATCAATTTATCAATTCCGTATTCATGACGGACATCATCACTCCTGCAGCAACAAGAATTGCGTTATTGACAGCATCCATCATCACCACCGTCGTCGTCGTCATCATCGTCATCATCACCATCATCATCATCATCATCGCCATAGTAATCATTATACATAATCACCGTCACCCCCGCCATACCCCATGATACTACAGCACATCTGCAGACATCAATCCGCAAGGCTTCAGTGTTCCCACAACCTATGTAGCGTTGCCCGGCAGACGTCTGCAGCTACCCGGAACAGCAAGAAATTGAAGATTTCGGCCCTGCTTCCCAGCTTGTGCATCGGCTGCTGGCTGCGTCACAAGGCTCTGTTCCAAGTTGAAATAAGACGGGGTGTTCAAGATTTCGGTGAATATGGATGGGCTCAGTCTGGGGTTGGTGTGCTGTGCGAAAGTGGGACTTGTCCAATCCTGCACCGATTTGGCGAGCGAGCATGCCTCGTCCTTCTCCCTCCTTCTTCGGCCCTTCGACCCGCGACGTACAAAGTTATTGTGGTGATTGTGAGGTTGACGAGTTGACGAGATAAGCAAAAAATACCCCATTTCGAGGCCGCCATGAGGGATGCCTCGCCGGTCCTTTGTCAGGTTATCTTCAAGATTATGGACCCTGGGATTCGGTGGTGTGGCAGATCTCCACAACAATCATTTCCAGCCCTGCTAGGAGAGTTTTTGCTTGAAGCAGACGTGGATAGCTCAAAACCTGATGCCCGCGTTGTTCTGCATGCAGTGATTATCTTCGTTACTTGCTGAAGGCATGCACACCCTTCATTCCCGAGACTGCCCCTTTGTTTGACGCGACGCTGCTGTCATGTTCGTTGTTCTTGTTCATGGGGTACATGTGAATCACTATGTCTGTCACCACAACGGAAGCAACGCAGTTCTGTACACTTACTTATGCTGTCGGTTTGTCGATTGTGATGAACAGCCTCGGCCATGTAGGCTTCGAAGAAGTGCCGACAGTGCTCCGACAACCCCAGGAGTGCTCCGCCATGCTCACACGGTTTGGATTGTGTTGAGGTCGGACTGCTATATGACGCAGTGCAAGTCTAATGCAGCATAAATAACCTCAGCCAGCCAACAGTGCATAGTGAGTAGGCTTTTTGCTGGCTTCTGGCATCATGCGCTTGCGCAAGGCGCGGCGCTTGGAAGCCTACTCAGCGGCTCCAAGCCTAAAGAAGTATCAGCCCCAAGCGCGAGGAGATCAAAGATGCTTGTGAGCACATGAACATCAAACACAGGCCAGTGGGCTCAAGCTTCAGGGTTCCGGTTTCTTGGAGCTGTAGCTGTAGCATCTGCAACTTGCTTCACTTCGGACATAGCTGGCATCGGGTGCCTTGCCAAATGAGCAAATTTCAGGATGAAAGGCAATGACCAGTCAGTGACGAGTGGTTGCCGATCTGTTCATCTTGCCCACCGCCCTGGGGGGCATTCCTCGCGCCAGGAATGCCCAGTATGCGGACAGGAGCTCTGTGAAGCTGCATCAGTACCAGTGGCCTAGCTGCAAAAGAGGCTACTTGCAATGCTCGACGGCCCGAAGCATGTTGTAGGATGCCGTGCAGCTTGTTGGTCAGAGATGGGGCAGTGAGTAATGCGGGATGTGTCCAGAGCTGTACGAGACATGCTGCGCCAGATTTCCTCAAATCGGCTAGTTACTCGGTTGTTCTCTTGTTGCTATCCAGAGTGAAACTCCCCATCTGCATCTCAGTGCGCTTTGCTTGCTTTGCTCATACAGCTGCACAGATGC